GCGCGTAAAAGTTCGAGAAAAAAAAAATTACGAATGTACCCCACTACTTGAAATCAAATGAAACCGTCCGCCGGTCTTTCGAAGTTCGACGAGCGTCGAACTTTTACCCTAAAAGTTCGAAGTTCGTCGAACTTCTGACTTTTCAGAAATCGAAAGTTCGAAACCTTTCGAATCCTCTTGATAAATAAGTTCGAAATTTCGAAATTCATCGAATTTTTTGGTCAGTGAAGTTCGAAAGTTCGACAGGCATCGAACCTTGCAGCGCAATAAGTTCGGAAGTTCGAAAAAGATCGAACTTATTAGCGTAATAAGTTCGACGGTTCGAAAAGCGTCGAACTTCTTAGCTTAACAAGTTCGAAAATTCGACCTCCGTCGAATTTTACGATATAAACAATTCGAAAAATCGAAATCTTTCGAACCTTTCGAACCGCTTGATTCGATCATCGAAACTTCGATTCGAAAAAAGTTCGCGGCATCCCTAGTCTCTGCCACTTCCATACACTCTGCAGTTGATTGCTCTATGCGCTTAGTGCAGTTTAATTTCTTCACGGTGTTCCGTCGGCAGAGCCTCGTGTACCTCTCGGTGTGGTGCAATCATCGGCTTTGCGCGTGGCTTGCTACATGACGTCATTGGGGCTTGTTGGTGGTTATTCCTATCCAGTTCTTGGTGAGAACAAACAAATTCGACAATGCAAAATGTAAGCTGCAAAAGCGCGCTAGGCTGCATGGTCAGCAGGATGGCCACCGATGGGGACGTCAGTGCCAGCCGTGAATCAAGCTGCATGATTCGGCACTTCCAGTGAGCGGTGCTAGTTCTCCCGACGCAGTGATGTACCTGAGAAGCGGCGTATGATAGCTGCCCTCTTGTTGTGGAGTCCCAGCGGCTGGAGCAGCTCGGCAATGTCTTGAATGGGGGCTTGGAGGACCGATTCGGCGGTTGGGTACAAGCCCAAGAACTTCCAGATCAGCGGCACTGCCGCTTTACCTGCATTCCGACGCCATCGTAAGTAAAGCGAGGGTTTGATACTGGTGCACATTCTGAATCACAGATGCAAGTAGCAGAACTTGCAAGCTCCTGCCCTCGTTTCCTTGCCGTAGTAAGCATTACAGGTTATTTTATGGGAAGACTATCACTGAGATAGATTAAAATAGGAATAAATTAAAAAAGAGACCAAAGTGCCGTCAATGCAAGATGCAAGTAAAACATTGGGAATAATGTATGGAGAAGGAACTTGCACAAACATCTTTTGAAAGATGTCCATTAAAATGTTTGTGACTCACTTTGCTGCCAACTGCTTTGATTCTGCTGGACCAATGCAGCATTTGCACGAGTCTTCCATCAACAAAAATCAGCATCTTTTTGTAAAAAAGGCGTCCATTAAAAATGTTTGAACTCGTTCGGAGTCACAATTGTAAATTAACGCTTCGGCTTCTCTGCAGTACTGCTGTGCAATGTAGTGAAGGGACCATGATGAAACTGGTGAACACACCTCGGGAGGAGTGTGACCTGTGGGTTCGGTTTTAACCGAAAAACAAAGCTACATGTATGCCGAAACGGTGTTGGTGATAATGCGTTGCAAGTAATGGCGTTACCGGTGACACATTTTTGCGGTCCCATATTACCACGCTCGTTGCATTTTCAACAATAGCGGATAACGCACTAATGTTACTTGGGTAACATAGTTACGTTACTCGTTACATCTTCTTCCAAGACAAAGAAATTTAACTTCAATTTTTGTCTGTGTTTCTAGGCGCAAAGTTTTATGAATTCTTCATTCATTCCACATACTTTCAACATTTTGCCTCTCTTCCCCACACATACAGTCCCACTTTAGAAAAACCTTGTCAAAACAAACATTTTAATTCATGAATAAAAAAGTAACGTGCATTACTTTTTATCAGTAACGGTGACACATTATATTGAGGAAACATAAACCGGTAACGCATTCCGTTTATTTGCAAGTGACGAGTAACATATTTCGTTATTTTTCTTTCGGTACAACACTGCCGAATTCATTTTTCAAAATCCGAAGGTGTGCATGGAGCGGTAAGGCACAGCTAGCGAGCCATATTAGGCCAATCACTTAGTGCTCAAAATTTTACTCTTTAATACGGCATTTGCAGGCTCCCATGTGATAACACCACAATAAAAAGTACAAAATGTGTTTTTTCTTATTTCCCGCCAGGTGATTTAATATGGTGTCAGGAGACTACGCAATAAATATTTTGCTTCAAAGTCGCGCAGATATATATTTAATAAAGCCAAAAAACTCGACTGCTCTAAGCCGAAACACGAGCACGGAGGCTCGTGGTTGGAAGTCACGTGACTACACCCAACTGCATTTTTTTTTCTCCGCTTCTCCAGTGTGTGAAGCAGATGACGACGACGACGACAAATTTGCCTGCATCGTTTGTCTGTTTCTTACTTATATCCCTTCCGCTCGATGTTCTGTGCTTGAAGATTGATTGGCCGGTATCATGAACGACAGTTCCGAATCGCAACGTTGGTTCGTCACGTGCTGCCATCACGTCATCTAGCCCGCAGTACGCTGCCGTATCGAGAATGACGTATACATGTACTTCCTGCGATCTGTGCATTATTTTTTTTTTTTCGATCAATGTATTTGCAACTTTTTGGAGGCAACAAAAATGGGGTTCAAATTCTTTTCTATTTTTAATATTGAATGTGTGCCTTAGATGGCCCACGACTTGGGATATATTTGGTACACATAATTTGAATGTTACGTGACCATTGAAAAGAGAGAGAGCGCGACTGCAACCGGCCAATTCTCAACCGGCTGCTTTGGGACGGAAAGAAAACAAATTTCGACCCGTAAACTGTGTTCTGGGTAGTTGGACTCTTATTGGTCAAGCTCAAATAAAAACCTCGGCGAGTATAAGTAACCTGTCAGTGCCCCTTTAATTGGATACAACCATAATAACCACCAAATACTATTCACGTAAAAAACAGAAAATCCAAGCAGAAACCACATGGTTTTGGGTCAAATGAAGATTTTGCACTTACCACCTAAAGAAGCCGGTAAGCTTGCATGTGCATACATATTCACCATAAAACAAGTAATGTATCTTAATACTACGAATACAGTTGAGAGACAAAATGTGCAGTGTGTTTTGAGCAGAGCTGAGTGAACGTGAGACAGTGTCGTGTGACGTGGTGTAATGTGACACCGCGACCAACCATGTGATCATGTCACATGATATTACATGTGAAACAACGCATTAGGTGCGATGTGACATCATTGTGTCACACAATGTTACATGCAACGTGATGTTACACATGATGCGACGCTACGACGTCGCATCATGCCGTCACGTGTTGTTCTTTGTGATGTTGCATCGCATTTCCTCTAAAACTAACATATTCTGCATCAAAAAGAAATTGGCCAAATTTGAAAAGGAAAAAAGAAATATTTCATTATGGGGGGACTCAGCCTACCAGTGGTTCGGTTGAGGAAGATGGTGGCCACCAGAAGTTTCCAGGGGTCATGGTAGAGGCTCTCTTGCACAAGTCCATAGGGCGACTTGGGAGGCACCCAGGGCTGCCCAGAGAGCTTTGGCGGCTGCAGTCCCCTTGAGCCAAAATAGGGACTCTTTTTCCCCCTCCCGGGGACAACCAGAACACCGTCTGAAGAACCCTGTTTCAGGCGCCCCCTCAGGCGCGTCACGGCTCTCGTGCTTGGAGGCTCCCCCACAGACTGGCTCGCTTCTTCGAGACAGTTTGCTGCGAAACAAAGACAAAGAATAAATGCATCTGAATTCTATGGATAAGGTAGGAGACAAAGCGGGCTTTGAGCTGTGCGGTTAGTTGTCGCTATTGTTACACAATCGCTTAAACCAGCGAATGGGAGTGAGGCAAGTGATAGTGATCAGCTGACGTCATGTCACAAGATGACATCAAGTGAATGTGTCACCCAAATGATATTACATGGCCATGCTATGCAAAAAATCTGTGCACCGTCACTCTGCTGACCTCGCGTGGCAACTGTTTGGTAAATTTTGCAAGGGACTATAGCGGATTGTTGTTCGTGCGACAGGTTTTTTGACGCCCTTCTGTTCATTTTGTACAAACTAGCTGTGCAATACATTTTGTTAAAACACTTCACCAATCAACACTCCTAAAGAATGTGGTGCAGCGATCCTGCTGAGCAAGGACTTGCCAAGACTGAAACTACAACCTTGCACAGAGAAACCAAGTTGGGATGTGCGCCACCATGTTGTGCAGAGTCTGGCTTCGTTAGGTGAATGTTTACGAGCTGTGGACCATAGCAAAGCAGCCAATGACCTCCTTATTGGGATCAGTAACCCGATTTCGACCTTGGCAGCTAAAGACGAAGCAGTCACTAGACCACCGACGCAGCATCCATGCCGGTTGATCCTTCCATAGTGGGCACAAAAGTTAGCATCGTGTGGCATTCTTTTGGTACCCTTATTTTTAGCCAGAACAATGCATCCATGTGTCGGGGTTTGTTAAGTCTTGGTCTAAACAATCCATGGCCCCGACTTTTATTAGGGCATTAGTGAGCCTGTCCATGAAAACAGACATGCCAAGTTACTGAGCTCGGATTGATGCAGCCAACCTCAAAGGTTTTGGCGCATTCTACGAGCAGATCCCATCAAACTTGCACCTCGTCAGCAACAAAACGCATTGCTTCAGGTTTTCTGCGGGTTCCAAGTTGTATATCCACAGAGGTGTGGAAATAACTCCCGTTATCGAAATGTGAACGGAGAAATCTGTGCCACCTACCTTCGACAATCAAGGCGATAGGGTCCCTCCCGTGTTTGTCCTCGCTGGAAGCTTGCACTGCACTTTGCGTCGACGCCGAATTGCACGAACGACCGTCACTTCCACGACTGATCGTACGTACGAGCACACAGCGTATGCAAGTTTGCACACAGTTGGTAGAGCTTAGAGAATGCAGAACCTGAACTTCAGACTGTACGGCCTGCAGTTTCAAAGCGCAGAAAAAATGGACCCAGTCTGTGATAATGGCGAGCTTTATTGTCGAAGGATGATGGTGAGGTATACATGTGGGACAGGCAGATAGAGAGGGGCAGAGAATGACGACAGGATAGCAAACGGGCTCGCCCGAAACTCGAGCAGAGTGGAACAGGAACCAAACAAAAAATCTATCCGCTCTTCCGCGCGTCCCGGACAGATGCCGTCAACACGCTTTCGAGATGGGTTAAAAAAAGAAGCGAACATGCACGACAGCTTTGTACACTGCAGTCTTGATTCGAGAAGAGCGCAATTCTCGGAAGGTGCAACTAACTGCGAGCGCTATTATACAACCAGTGAGATGAAGGGGGGCGGGCAATGGCGACTATGCACGCAGCACATGCTCAATGGTTATGCTATGTACACCTTTGTACAGCGGCGTCTTCCACCATTTTTTTTAAATAGTTTTTGCAGACATGCGCACGACCTTCCGGCGTACCCATCATCAAAGGCATTTGGATTCGGGCATCAACTTATAAAAACGAGCTCTTTATTAAAAAATGAAGGGTCCGAGGCACACCGAAGGTTTGGAACCTTCCGAGGGCACGTCTCGCTTGACTCGGGTAAAAGCCAACTCCACACCATTTCGGCTTATTCGGACATTCAGCACCGGTTAAACAAGATTGGCTGCGCAACCTTCGCATAAACCGTGAAGCTTCTAAAATCTGTCTCTCCGACAGCACGAGCAACACAAAGATGTCGGATGAATGAGCCAGACGTGGCACTTGCTCAATATCCAACTGGAGGCTGCCTACTGTAAAAATATAGCCGGACAAAACCAGTTCGAAAATGTAACGGGTGCCGCCGCGTCAAGTGGCTAACTGTTCCACCCAGACAGCACATTAGGGGTTCTAAGCAATCAAGTGTACAATGTACGAATCAAGCTGGAGCAATGAATCGCACATGTGCAGCATCTTTAAAAAAACTCAAGTGCAACCAGTCCCGACGGTTGACCGGAAATGGAGAAAGCATTGCCAGCACCTCTTCGACAGACTGCCCCCGCACTCGTTTTTCCGAGACACTGCTGGTCATGTGGAAAACTATGCCTCGAATCGTAAAATGTGAACGGATGATTGCGAGAGCTCTGACGCAGGCCGCTCGCATCGTGTGCCGAGGATCTTTCCAACGAAATTCAAGAAATTTGCAGTTTTCGAACGGTACATCTTCGAAGGGACATTTTTTTTTTTTTTTTTACCTGGGAGGGAAGGGAGGGGGCCTAAAGGTTTACTAAAGCAGATTACAACTTCATCTCTTTATGGCTCTCACATGGTTTAACTACCCCTCAATCTAAAAATTCACAAAGTACTCCCATCTGTAGATTATGTTGGAGCCATAAAAAGACAAAATCAGAAGTCCCTTTAGTGTGCTTTCAATACTTGCACCGCTCGAAATCATACAACATAGTCTAACAATCAGTTTTCAATCGTATTGGGTTCACTTGCAGAAGCTGAAACCCGTTTAAGTCAGCCTTTAAATGCAATGCGTCATATTGAAAGCTTCGTGCCAAGACCGGTGCACCACACCCGCAGAGTTGGAGGGGAATCGTCACGATTACTTTAGCAGGTTGTCGTTCCCGTGAGTGACCCAAGTTAGTAGCGAATGAACTGGCCGCCGCCACTGCAGAAACGCAAAAAACCGTCGCCATGAACAACAGAGATCGGGATAAGGTCACATTCCAGTTGCAGTTTTCGTTAAAAACGCAAGAAAAAAGCAAACCCTGCGTGCCAAAAAAAGGGAACGAGAGGGCCCATGCGCGGCGACCGCGCTGCACGTGCAAACCAGCAAAATACGACAACGGGACAAAACGCTCCAACCGTTGGCGCGCTCAGCTGGTTGCAGTCGCTAACAGACCATCCTCCGCAGAGTCACAGTTCTCACTCGGGCGACTGGTTCTTCGTCGGCGCCTCTGCGCAGGAGGCTCGGGGCTTGTGGCGCCACCCGCGGCGACGTCGTGCGTCGCGGAGCGGCTGCGCTTCCGCGTCTGGGCACCTCCGTGCTGAGGCTGCTGCTGTTGAAGCTGCTGTCGTCTCCGTGAGAGGTCAATCTCTTCTTCTTCAGGATTCTTGGTGTAGCTGTGTTCGATCATGTGCGGAAAGAGTTCGTAGAGTGTGCTGTGGGGCCGCGGTTGCTCCGGCGGGGGCGTCGGCAACCTGTCCTCCTCGAACGCCGCTTCTGCGGTGGCTTCCTTCGCTGCAACGGGGTCTTCCACGGGTGCTTCTTCGTCCGCCACCTGGTTCTCGCCGTGTGCTGGGTCCTCCTCCTCTGCCTGGGAGGGTTCAGTCGGCGATGCCTCGCCAGGCACTTCCGGCACTCTTGCGGTGGCCGCGGCCTCCTCCATTTCGGCAGCGGAGGCTTGTAAAAGCCTTTCTTCCTCTTTAGCCTTTCTGATTGCCTGCCTTTTACTTTTTTCCCTTACGACCTTCTGTGCCGTGCCTTTTTCCGTGGCGATCTTGGTCTTATCCTTCTTTGCGTCCGTTGCCTCGGAGGCGGGCGGGGCATCCACAAGTTCGGCATCGACCGCCGTTTCCGCTCGTTGGTTCGAGACCGTCCCCGATTGCTCGGGACGTTCAGCCTCCTCTTTAGACTGCGGCTCTGCGTCATCTTTAGGCTCCACCTTCTTTTTCTTGTTCCTCACCTTCTCCTTTTGCCCTGCCCCTTTCGGCTCCACCTTCTCTTTTCTCTGCTCCGTCTTCTGCTTTTGCTCAGCTTTCTTCTGGTCTACCCTTTCCTTTTGTACCGCCTTGTTTTGCTCCACTTTCTTCTTTTTCTCGCCCTTCTTCTGCTCGGCCTCCTTCTGCTCCGCTTTCTTCAGCTCCGCTTTCTCTTTCTGATGTGACTTCTTCGAGTCCGCCTTTTCCTTTTGCTCCACCTCCTCCTTCGGTGTCGCCTTCTTTTCGGCCCCTCCCACTTTCCCCTTGCCCGCCGGCTTCCGCTCCAACCGGTCGAACTCTTTGAAGAGAAGGTCCTCCACCTCGACCAACTTGCGTTTCCGGCTACGCCCCCCTTCTGCCTTGGCCGCCGCCTCCTTTTTGCCGGGAAGCTCCTCCTTCTCGGTGGCCGCCGCCTCCTTCTTGGTGGCTGCATTCTCTTTCTCCGTGCTCTTAGGCGCCTCCACCTTGGGGGCTTCGACGGTCACCTTTTCCGGCTCCTCCTCCTCCTCGCTCCGCGGCAAAGCTGCTTTGTCACCTTCCCTCTCGCTTTTGTTCTCCGAATAGTTTTTGAGAATGCGCTTTTTCGGAGAAGTGAAGTTGAGACGCACGACCAACTTACGACCATGACGCTGACCGGACGGTGTCTTGGGGGCCGCCGCCGCAGCCTTCTTGACGGTAGACGGCCGCTTGACGTCCTTCTTAGCCGTGACCTCCTTTCTGGCCGCTGCATCCTTTTTCGCAGTCGCGTCCTTTTTGGCAGTCGTGTCCTTTTTGGCCATGGTGTCCCTCTTGGCAGTGACATCCTTTTTAGCCGTCGCCTGTTTTTTGGTAGCCAGGGTGGTTTTGGGAGTAGCCTTTGGGGTGACCGGGGCAGATATCTGCCCCTTGGTCAGTCCCTTGACGGTGAAGTCAAAGTTCGACAGGGGTAGTGGGCTGCCGACCTTCTCCAGGTGGGCCTGCAGCTCGTTGCGCGACCGGAACTTCTTTCCCTCGGGGCTGCGAGAGAGTTTGAAATCTTGCGTCAGGCACACGCTTCGACAGATACCGGCCTCGGATGTTCCCTCTGAATCAGATGGCTCTTACAGAACATTTCTTGCCGACTAACTCCCAGCCATTACACGGGCCACTGTCAGGCCAAGGTGACCTTCGTCATTTGGTCGAGAGCATCGACATGCCCCAGTGGAAGACCGAGGATTCATTTTGACCGTCTGGGGATTCTTTTAACGTGCAGCCGAAATCTCGGTTACGCGGCGCTTTTCTGCAATAAGCCTCCGTCAGACTGCGGGGACCTTGGCTGGGATTCGAACCTGCCATCTGGGAACCAGTAGCAACTATCGAGGCGGCTAAGAAAAGCTTTAGGAATAACGGTCCGTTTATAAATGTGAGGAATGATAATACATTGAAGCACGTTAGGAAACGTCATCGATAAACGTTCCATTATATTAATGGCTTCACTGACACTTCCCGAGACACAGACCACATATGTAGGTGCATATGACACCAAGAAATCGAATTTGTTTTTCGTGATGCAATCTCAACAGCAGTACCCTCTAGGACAATCTTATAGGAATGTGGTACTCCACGAGAAACAAACATTTTTTTTTTGGGTAAGTTAACTAGGTAGTTTGTTACTATGGTACCTGAAACGCATCTCCGACTAGTATGTTTACCTCGTCCCAAAAAGTGGTCCCTGGACTTCCGCCTGGTGACGTCAGACAAGTGTGACATTACCACACTTGTTCCGCCACAGGCGGCTCTTTAGCTTGACAGTCCACCAATGCTTTGGCAGCTAGGAGTTGGGACGCCGCAGCAACAGCAACACTCGCATCCACTCGTACTTTGAGCCAGCCTTTCCACAACCAACCGCCAGGATATAACAGCGACAGCATGACACTCCGGGTTTTGCGAGGTCATTTTGTTGCCACTTGGGACCCCTTTGATTTATGGCCGGGATAGGACACTAAACTCACCAGTTAGGGACCCGTTCTAGGCACCATACTAAGGAATTCCACCAAACTGCGAGACGAGTCATCTACCAAACTGCTTCGGCCGTCTTGATAGTGTACGGCAGAACCGAAGCGAAGTAAGCTGCCCACCTGAAGATGTAGACGTCAAACTTTCCAGCCGAGCGGCCAGCCTGGCGTTGTGTCACCTTCCGGTACCATCCAGGGGGCAGGTTCGGGTCATCAAACATGGCAGGACTGTCCTTCTGGGAAGACTAACCCCGTGTTAGTGGCCTGGGTCACCAACCAACGGTTCGGGGTGCACAAACGCGCAGGCACGCGTCAGTGTCGGCGCTCAACCTTGTAGGGTGCTGGCAGACTGCCACGCTACCGTCGCCTGCCAACGCGGGCAAGGCCGCTGCGTCGACACCGACGCGTCCCTCTGCGACTCCCTTCCCGCGGCATTACCTCCGTCGTGAAGGTAGGCTCGGCGTGGTCGTCGTCCCGCGATGCCGTCTCCATCTTCGGGATCCCTGCGATACAAAGACCGCGGACAGACTGTCAGAAGCCGGGCACACCTCTCGCGGCCTCTCGCACAAGCTCATTCGGGTTCGTACGGAATTTTCAGGGTAGCGATACTGCAGAGAAACACAGGGCGCCGTTTGGCGCGGTGAAAGTGGCAGCGCCGTTGGCGCTACGGCTCTGGTGAGGCTTGCAGCGCATACGTTATCCAAACGACGGCGCTACCGCCAGGTATGGTGCAGCCTTAACCGTACACACGGTGAATAAGGAGCATGGGCAGTGCGAACGAGGTAGCTCCGTGCAAAGAAGTTTAAAATCGGTCTGTGTGCGCGTGTTGCTGATCGCCTGGGATCGGCCAAAAAGGATAGCCCAGAAAAACGCGGGCAAGAGCGCGCGACGCGACGCGCAACAAACAAGGGACGGGGAGTCGGCGCTCGTGACTGTCGTCGCATGCGGGAACTTCACTTACGGTCGCAGCGGCGAAAAAAGGTATTCTCAGCCGGAACGGGTTGTCCTCGAGAGCTTGGAATCAGGAAATGCGCGCAATATTAGTCGTTAAACTCAAAATTCATCCGTGTCAACAAATTTTCCATTGTGGAAAACGGCACCAATTTTAAAGCTAAAATTGACGGCTCCTATTTCTTCTCAAGAGCTGGCCGTTACGCGATAAAAATGACAAAGGACTCGCACTGCGGCGCTAGTAAGCTAACTTTTCTACAACGTAATTTTTGTAATTGTATAACGTAATTTTGTAATTGTATAACAACTTATTTTAGCAAACATGAAAGTTTAATATTTTATAAATTGTGCAGCTTACCTTTAAACATTTTAGTTTGGTCTGTAGATTTTGTTGAGAATGTTTTGGCTTATAATTTTATCAAAATGCACAACTAATTACATAACAACTTAAACGAGCAAATCAATATTTACATGTTTGTTGTGAGTTTGTTTAAGTTTTTCTCTTATTTTTGTGTTGATTTCCTAATTTCATCGGCTTATGAACACCCACTGAACGTCTGTCGGCAACACTGCTATTTTTTGTTTTGGTTTTTGCATGTTGTTTTGGAGGTTCTAAAGCGTTTCTGACCGCGATGTTCCCCTGCGTTAAACTGTTTTGGACGTGTGTCGCATTCGTTAATGGCTCAGTTCGATAGTTTTAAACCTTCGTCTGATTGCACTGTTTTCGGCCAAGAAGTTCCCATGTCGTTGCCGTCGAGACGGTTGCAGCAGTAGCGGACCGAGTGATTCAAGATGAAGTCGAATGGCCTGTGCCTCCAGTTTCCCCGACATCCGATGTCAAGCTCGCGCTTGGAAATTCGCCTCCGACACATCCAGAACACTAGCGACGACGTTGTTTCTCCAGTGGTGCCTGACAGTGCCACCCACGAGCGAAGGATGGCCGTAGTGATGCGGCCTGACAGCGGCAATCAATGCTTATAAATTGTCTATAAAAATGCCATTGAAAAAAAAAAAAAAAAAAAAAAATGTTACAGGGTTTTAAGCGCATGCCTCTTTGCTCTCGGTTTTTTCTTTTATTCATCATGCAGGATTGAATTGCTACTAATAATATAAAACATTATTTGCAGCTGGGGTTGTGGCTTGTTCCTTGAGAAGATAGAAACAAGTATTGCAGGCAACAATTGATATTACTTGAGAGTACCTTGTAGACAGCTCTTTTCAGAAATCCAGTGTCTGCCTCAATACGTAACTTTGCGATTTATTTTCTACCTCATAGTAATTTTTGCTCCGCAAAAATTATCTACGCATTGCCCAACATTCGTTCTCCACCCAAAGGTAGCGCTACCCATCCAAACCATATGTAAAAGTTTCAGAACTAACCGCTACCTCAGTTGATAGTTCTAAGTGATTTTCTAAAAATTTTAATGGGTAAATGGCCCCATTTTCGGTAACTGGCACCATTCAGCTGAAACACGTCTGCCGTCATTTTCCCATTAAAAATTTCAGAAAATCGCTCATAACATTTGAAAAAAAGATAACGTTTAGCACATGGTTGAAAAAACCCCGAGACTGCGGGTAAACGACACAACACTAAAAAGTCTCTAGTGTTGTGTCGTTTACCCGCAGTCTCGGGGTTTTTTCAACCATGTGCAATGTACACCAGCTCGTTTGCGCCCTTACTTTGTGTTCATAACGTTTAGTTCTGAAACTTTGGCATTTGGATAAAACTGCTAACGCTACATTTGGCTAGAAAATGAGTGATCGGCGATGCATACGGTAGTTTCTTTTTGTGGTGAAAGAAATCCTGTAAGCTTTTTTTGGGGGACAACCTGTATATATGGCAAAAAGCGAATGTCGGCTTGCAATTGCCTGTTCCTGTCTGCTGAGACTTCAAATGGCTTCAATTTTCGCTCGTCAAACAAACCTTTCTTTTTTTCTTTCAGTTGAACACCATACTACCGCTGCCTTGAAGCTCCAGTGACGTCCCATTTTTTTCTTTCTGAGACCCATTCTTTCATACGTTATATTGTTTGACAGAATGCATCTGCTGATGGGCTTGCCAGAAGATGTGGGCTTCGTGAGCTATTCATCTAGAACTTTTGAATGTCACAAGCCGTCAGTTGCTTCTTAGGTGCTTTACCTTGCAAGTGAATCCTTGATTTTGTGCTTGTTACCTTCTTTCAGCAGCTCTTTTTAGACTGCTTCATTCTTACATTAACCACATTCTTAGCTTGCTACAAGTTCCACTATTGCATGTATGCATAACTAACTCTGCCTTGAGATGATTATCGTACCAAAGGAAGCTGTATAGCAGTCACTGTTCAAGTTGCATTTAAGTTCATCTGCCACGAGGAAAGGGCACTCACATTATGGCAATCTAATTTCTTGAATATGCAACCAAGATATGCCATTATTAATGCATCAAAGTCGAGATACAATTATTTCCAGTCGAGATTAAAAAAGAAAGTAAAAACATTTGTCGTGCATCCCTTTTTGTAAGCGGTTAGAATGCTCTCAGCCGCATTAATGTGCTGGAGCCTAAGTCCTCAAACTGGGTTCCCCAGAGTTTGGTTCTCCAAGCACCAAGATTTCCTCCCCCGTCCCTGTCCCCAAGTTGCAAGTTCTATTTCTAACATTGCATTCCTAAATCGATGGAGGATGGAAACTTCCCGATATTCATTGACTTCAAACGAAAGAAACACACAAAAGGACGAAACAGACGACAGCTTTCGTGTGTCGTCTGATATTGTTGAAGCATTCTCCCTGTTTTTAAGAGTAAATTCTCATAATTTTAAATACGAGAAAATTCTCATCCACTACCTTCATTTATTCTCTCTATCTCTCTCATATTCTTTAAAAATAGAAATCTTGCCACTATTTAGAAAAGGAAATTTTTATACTTGTAAGAGGAGATTTTCTTTATATTTATAAAAAGAGAACTCGCCCCATATTTTTAACAAAAGAGATTCTCCCTATATTTATAAGAAAAGAGAATTATCATATTTTAAAGAGAAAATTCTTCCCATATTTTTCAAGAAAAGTGGGAAATCTCCCCATATTAAAAAAAAAAAAGGTTCTCCCTGTTTTTTCAAAAGAGGAAATTATTTTCTAGAAGAGTGACTTTTCGAAAGAGTGGGAAGTCGCACGATGCCCACAGATTGGCCCACACGTGCACAAGTTGCTTGGTTTTGTCGCGTGACGCCCCAGTCTGGTTGCGCGCAGGCTGGAGGCCGGCGGACATCCCCCGAAAACGCCCCGGGCCGCTGGCGTGCGGCCAGTGCGACTTCACGACCAACGTGGAGGGCAAGCTGCGCCTGCACCAGCGGTGCCACGCGGCCGGCAGACGTACCTTCCGGTGCTCCCTGTGCCGCACGGCCTTCACCACCAAGGCCACGCTGATGCGCCACATGCGCATGCACACGGGGGAGCGCCCCTTCCGGTGCCACTTCTGCAGCAAGGCCTTTGTGGACGGCGGCCACCTCACCAGGCACCTGCGCACCCACACCGGGGAGCGGCCCTTCGGGTGCCCGCTCTGCGAGGCCACCTTCAAGCGCAAGGACCACGTCACTGTTCACCTCAGGACGCACTCGGTCCAGCTTGCGTCCATCTGAGCTTCGAGGGAGCCGTCTGCAGGGCATTTCCGAGCGCCATTCGGTCATTAAAAGAAAGAAGGAACCTTAGAAATAAATTAACGGATCGATTCCAATTAAACTTTTACGCAGGTGTTTTCGGGCGGTGCAGTTATCACACTCATATTTTACGAGTGTAGGTTTTCAGAAAACAATTTCAGCCTAAAAACTCCTGTTTTTTTTGTGTTTTTTTACAGCGGAGCTGTTAAGGTCTTGTTTCTCCAGTTTTATGTCCATGGACAAAGAAATCTCAACAACCCTCTCGACAGCTATCACCATCTATGAACAACAACCAGACAACCGGCTTGCCGGTTGTCTGGTTGCCACTGTCGTTCATAGATGGCGGCACATAGTACAGCTCGGCTGCTCTTCCTTCTTCACCAGAGTGGAAAGGCTGAAAGTTTTCTATGTACAGGGAGGAAAACAATGAAAAAATGTCTGGTTGATGCTGCAACTTGCAGATGGCGGAAAATTAAAAAAACAAAAAGTGAAAGCTTTCTTGAAATTTGAAAGCAGATTCAGCAGGTTTGAATGTGTGGGGTAGGTAGCAGCATGAACCGAACGGTTTATATAATTTCCCTCTCTGCAGGAAAACAAACGGGAGTTTTAGGCTTAAATTTTTTTTTTCTGAAGACCTACACTCATGAAATTTTAGTACAATAAACGCACCACCTAAGAACAGTCTCTTGAAAAGTTCCAATGCACTTTATTCGTTGGTTTATCTATAAAAATAATGTTTGCACCCGAATAGCGCTCGGAAACAGCCCGTGTACACCGTTTCGTTTTAAGTAAGAGCGAAGCTGTAGCTCTTCTAATATACCGAGCAAGCGGACACTGAAAATTTGGGGATAATCTCGAAAAACTAAGGGGTGGGCACTTGTTGGGTCCAAGAGCAAAAATGCAGAAGGGGCACACGATAGGGTGGGCTTCACTGCTTCACACCGGTGCGCTTTGAGAAGTGGCTGACGAGAAGAAGCATCTCGATTAAGCCAGGTAGGCTCGGAAGCCTGGGGTGAAAGATGCTTTCACTGCACGAGCCCGTGTGCTCAGAAAGGATGTCGAAAACCCAAAGCTTGCTCCTGCAGTCCCTCCCAAAGCGTGGAACAGAGGTTGTGTTTGGGGCAGGACACTTGTTTCCATTGTGTTCGAAAAAGAAAAACTGGTGGATATAGACCAATCAAAAGAGGCAGCGTAAAGGTATGGTGGGACCGTTTGCGTTGGGCCGTGTTTGGGCCTTTTTCTGTCGGGTAATATCTTAAAGCTGTGAAGTGTAAGCAAAGCGCCGGCCTACGGTTTTTCGGGTGGTGGATGCTCACAATCTGACGGAGGCTCGCTGCAAAGAGGGCGTCGTGGAAACCAGAGTTGGGTTGCAAGTCAATCCTAGGGTGGTCGAAATCGATCCCCAGTCTTTTGCTGGGGCAGATGTCCCTCGTTGGTTTGGCAAATAGAATTCCTACATCTGACTCGTGGCAATTTAATTTCTTCGGCTTTGCGGGGAGTGCCAACGGGTCTAGTCTGGCACTTATTATCTTCGGTCCAAAAGAACAAAAAGAAAAGTTGCGACGGATTGGCTAGCGCCGGAAGAAAAAGCTGGCTTCATCGTTATGTGGATTTTCCACCTCGCCAACCTGGCGGTTGTGATCTGCAGGTCCGTTTAAATAATGCCGTCGTCCAAAAGTCTTTTCTTTTTAGATTTGTTTGGTTTGAATTTAAAGTTTAGTCTGGCGGAGTGATAATCGTCGACGGCTTGCTGCCACTTACCAGGATATTCCAAGTGCTTTTATAGTCGCTGAGAACGGAAAGGAGGAGCTTCAGTTGCATCCCCCCCCAAGCACGAGCCTTTTTTTCCTTCTACCTTTCAGAATGCTCTCGCGCACCTAGAGCGCACGAGCAAGTAGCCAAAGCGCCGTGGAAGACATGAAGCGCGTCTTGGAGGCCACGAACTTTAAAGGAACGCCCTGCCGATTTCATTCCGTCAGTGTCTCGTGCATATTACGTATTTCGCCTCATACTCCGTTTCGTCGGAGCTTGGTAGACAACAAAAGCTACGGCCCTGGCGAGCCAATCGGAGCACCGGAGCGAGGCACGTGACGAGTCGGAGTGCACTCCTGCAGAGGGCTGTTGCGCGCATCGCTCCCTCGCATCGGTTGGCCGACAAGAGCCACAGCATTCGCCACTCGCCAATTTATGTTGAGACGGATTATAAAAGAAGCCAACCAAAGAAATTAGTAGCACTTTATAATGCGCGTGGGTTTATCTTTTGCGAAGTCGACGTGTCCATTTATAAATGAACGTACAATCGGTTTGAGATTCTGCACCTATTGTGCGCAGGCACGGAGCAATAGGGCGTGCGAAAGGCCCGAAATGCTCAGTCTCCCAGCTTCATCTTCTCTCTTGACGCGTGACCTCCTTTCTTCCCGATGCCTGCTTCCATCTTGAGGCCAGTTTAGACGTACGGCGCAGTGCTAAGCCAACACTAGAAACTGCTCACCTGAACATAGCTTAGCACCAAGGAAGTGCTGTATCATTATTACAGTGCAAAGTCGGTGCTGCGTCAGGAAGGTCAGTGCCATTTCCAGCGCTAACTAATAGCACCGCGCTCTATGTGGGAACAGGCCTATAAAAGCACTGGTTTTCACAACACCTCTATATAACGGGGCCATAGAGCCAAATTCCAACCTAACCAAGGCCAATGCGGGACACAGATTGTGCTGCATCAGCATTCTACAGAGACCAATCGGTAAGAAGTACAACTCCCAGCCAGCCGAACGCATCAGTCTTGCTCAATCTGCGTCACGTTTATTTTCTTTAGGCAATGCCTAACATGCAGCATTACGGCTGCTCCTAGGCGTTGCTTTCAACCACGAGGAGCCTCAATCGCCAGGTGCACTTAGACCCCACAACTTCGGAGGCTGGCGTTTCGTAGCGTCTGATTGGTCCTTGCTCGTCTAGCGTTCGAGACGATTTGGTCATGCGATCAACTTTATAAGGGAGTCGTCTTTTGAAGCAGGAAAATGTTGTCTTTCTCTTTCGTAGAAATGAAGTCAACTGAAGTATAGTGAACTTGGCTAGTATAAATGGTAAAATTTTGTTTACCGCGACGCCCTAAAGGTGATGCAGCAGTGTGATTGGGCATTCCTTGACGGTGTGTGCTTTCGAAGCTTGCCGAAGTGGCGGGGGTCGTGGTGCTGAATTATTTTTATTGTGCACTGGCCCGCTTCTTTTTGCGAGCAATCGAATGGTTTATATTTTTGGTTTTATGGTAGAAGGCTAATTAAATATATAATTCACCGGTGTGGAACAAGAGGTGGAGGGCCCTCCTTTATCGGCATGTCCAGGCTTTCTACCAAAACAGTCTGTGGAACCCGGTGGATGGCAAAGTGTCAAGTTTTGCAATCTGTCGATTACTTCTACCTCCTTGTGCTGCATGAAAGTACCGCAGTGTGGAGCCCGGTTTGGGATATGTGATGTGCAATAAAGTTGCGCGACGTTATTTATTTAATGCCCTGCACTTCGAAATTCCTTACTGCTACGGCGTAGCATTGCAGGTATCAAAGTCGGAGAGGGTCGTGCCAAATCTTCAAAGCAGGTGGACCTCTCACTATGGAAATACCACGTCTTGTTTGCTTGGGGGTCGGCAGCTTCTGCCCAGTGTGGGTTGTGCCTTTCCTCTTTACGGAGTGCACTTCAACCTTTCAAGCTGCGGCGGAACATGGACGGATCGATGAATACAGCTCAACGTATGAATGGAACGGCAGCTCGTGAAACCTAGCCAGTGCTGCTTATTTCAGCAGCTGGTATATGTCTGTAATACACCCCTCCACACGAATAGGTGTCCAGTAACGTAGAGGCGGCACTGGTAATTCAGTACAAAAAAGTGATCCTCTTGCATCTCTGAAAGCTGTTGAAGAATGTAAGGGTAGCCCCTATTGCCAAATAATGTTTGTGTCACACAGTGTACCTTCGCTGGTGGAAATATTGATGACATCTAACACCGTGCCACCGGCGTCTGCAGCGTAAGTGCGCCAGGGGAGACCTGCCATTATCGTCTTTCCCGTGACTTTAGTGTGTCGAGAGAAACAAGCTAGAAAGCCACGAAGGAGATGCTTCGCGAAATGGTGGGATGGCGGCTGCTACGACAAGTCGCTGCCAAAAGTGCCTGCAACGGTCGTGTCGAGCTTCACCACCTCGCACGGGGGTGTTGGGAGCAGCGTCCAACACGAGGGAATATCTGCGTTAACTCCACGGGCACGGAAATTTGCTCGCTTTTATTGGTCGACCGACCGTGCTGAGAAAACGAAAGTGTCAACCTATATTTGAACGAATACGATAAGCATATATTACCCGGTGGCCTTTACTAGTATCGTTGCGTTCTACCACCAAATGCCCGTTCAACAGTCTCTTCTGGGCAGCCGTCGCACCATAAAATGCCGTGGAAGCACCCATTTTGTACAAGCGCCTGCTACTAACATTTCCAAAACTCGGGAATTATGCAAATTATGCTTAGGGCGTCCATGTTCTCCAAAGTGCCGCATTGGCCAAAAAGTATTCGCCCCCGTCGTGGTGGCCATGAGGCTGCCGGCGGCGACGACTGGATATCTACTTTCTCACGACGGAAAGAGAAAATCTACTCGCGACGAGAGCATCGACCGCAAGTTCGGCACCGGCTCGGAAGTGTCGTTTTCTGGGTTTAGTGACGATGAATAGGTACTAGTGTCCCTTGCGTTCGAAGCTCTATGTTGACCACCGTCTTGGTTTCTACCGACTTGACCGGACAAGCACCGGTGTCTAGATTAACCCAGTTTGTACTGAGAGTGGGGTAAGCGCTCCCCCGGTATTTTATGGTAGTTCTCGCAATCTCTTACGACGAGAGTACATGCTGGCGCCATCTATGGGGTGACCCTGAAACTGTACTTCACTAGAGCAAAGATTATACAAGCCAAACGGGCATTTATAACATTGTTAAAAGATTTTCAAACCAAAAATCGAAATGATGTGAAAAAAAAAGAGATGTACAGAAATGCCAAGTGTCCCACGGCCACACGATAGAAATGTGTTCTCTCGTCGGCATGGATTTTAAGATGTTTTTAGGCACATGGTCGTCACCAGTTGGAAGTCTGTGAACCAGTTTGAAGCCTGCTGCTCCCGTCTGGTATTAAGGTCGGTGGCTGCGAGCACCCAGCACCATGAAAGATCGTCACTGCAGGTGCCGACTTTATGGGGCTGTCCCGGAGACTTTTGTTGGAGTAGCGACTTCTGGGATGGAAGTTGGCTCGGTGGGAAGCTGCGTTCATGAATTACCTTGTTTGGCGTTTTATTTTTCTTTGATTCTAACGTGGGAGGGTTCATCGGGAGGTGCTCTAGGATGGTTTTCATGACTGGTGCTCGCCCTGTCAGCTCGAACCCCGGGCGCCCAAATTGAGGGACGACACCCAGTCTTGCTTGCGTAGGCTCACGGTGCCGACGCGGCTGCGGATGGCAATGCGGCCGACATCTCCCGACGGCTCGGCTGAGGGGAGGAAAAACAAATGGTAAATAAATTAACGTTGATATGTGCCGATATGCATAGAACAATGTCTAGAGGCCTAGTGTGCCTTGCTGAATGTTGCCAAGCTGGTAAAACATTCTGTCAATTTTGGTGAAATTCCTTACCAATCTGACAACATTGAACCTGCAGCGGCGAGAGTTTGTATCGCTGATCTTTACGACAATTTGCTAAATCGCGTATCCCCGCTTCCAGCCCATTGCACAATTGCAGTCACCAGTTGGCCATCTTACGTCGCTCGTTGAAGCATTGTCAAGGCTGTGGTCACATAATTTTTCCGTCTGTTGTCACGTGACTTACAGATGGTAACCATGGTAACTGTATAGGCTTGACAGTGCTAGAGCAGGTGACGTAAGGGTTTATTCACACAGTTGGGTTCGAGTGTGACTGCAATTACTTTCGTCTCGCTAAAACTGCTTGCGTCAAGCTGTTGCTATGACGACACGACGAGCCAATGGGGAGGCACTGTGTTGAATGACGCAACGCGGTCTCGTAAATGTGTGAACCAGACCGGTGGCTCCATTTACGGAGGGCAATCGGCAATCCAGCCAATCGTCACAGAGATCAATGGTTTGTATGCGTTTAGTTGTAGAAGGGGTGAAGGGCAGCAATGCCAGACTGTTCGGGGAATCCCACCAAAATCGGCAAAATCCGCCCAACACTCTGGAAACGAGAAAGATGACATTTGCAGATAGACAGACTGCGAGCCCACAGTCTTCTTTTTGAACGACACAAAAAATGAAAAGACAAAAGCATGGTAGCAACATTAAATATGTTGTGCAAATTAATTTTGTGTGAGCTGCACGACACCTAGCCTGAAAAAAAATGCGCCGCTTTTCCTTTACCGTGATTTGTACAAAGATTTGCATTGGCAGCGGTCTTACCCGTAGTCATGCTGGCATCCAAGCTGGAGGAAACACTGTCTGCATCCACAGACACTTGGTGAGGAGAAGACAACAGCATGCCGACATCCCCTGGACCGAAAGAGAGGGCCAAACTAAACTGGCATCTCGTCCAAAGAAATGGATTTGGCAAGTCAAGTCAAGCCAAAAACGCAGTTCAAACCCTACAACGATCTGGTGGCCTTTAACGCCGAGTACCATCAGACAAACGTTCAACAAGCTCTACCTGCAGAGAAACAACTAAGCGGCACAGCTCGGGGTCAGGACTACGGGAAAATTTAGTTGTGCCCAGACCCCCAAAGGTTTGTGACTATTTGTGTTTGTATTTTCCTGTTACTCGTTTTTACAGTTGTACATGTTCCGATTTGGGGATGACGTGTCATTGATGAACTAGAGGGTAAATCCTTTGGATTTTTTTTGTTGTTTATGCCCGTCTACCCATCCATTCGTCTCGCCCTGTGTAACTAGGCCAGAGTGCGGCCGTGCCCACCTGTGTTGGTGTCCACGTCCAGGTTCTGAGTCCTCGCCACCACCACGTGGATGTCACCAGAGTCGGTCGACACCGAGCAGTCTCCGTCCAATCCCCCTGCAGAGGGTGTCGCGATCTGACTCGGTGGAGTCACCGCCGCCGTCTCGACATGCGGAGCCAGCCAAACGGGAGAAAAGACGATTTCGAGCCACTAGACGATATGCTTTTAGAATATGGACACTTCATTTCATGACCGTTTCGTGAGTGCTGCCATCTTGCTTCCTAGTGCAGAGCAGGCACAAGTGGCGATAGTTACGGTTATAAAATGGGACCCGCCGAGGTTTAGACACGGTGTTGCGAAGCTCGGGGAATGTCGTTTCGCTCCGTCGTGGATCGCGTCGACATTTCTGGAGGACCGAAAACCATTTCCTGCGATTTCAGATAAAGCTTCCGACAACCCTCGATGGCTTTAAGCAGCAAGATGTACGGAGTGTCGTTACTCTGAAGCGTAGCTCATTTGTTGGCTCTAGGACGACCCTTACCTAGGCTCACGGAACCGGACGAGGTTTTGAGTGCCGCACTGCAGCTATGAAGGGTGCCGAGGCGAAGGTTGCCCCCCGCCGAAACTATAGTAGCTCGCTCCACGTACGCTGCGGCAACAGTCTGATCTCCGGAGCTCGTGCTGACCTGAAAGGATGTCACATTTGTGTACGGCCTCAGACTAGCGTAATGCTTCTCCACGCACCCATACTACGCAGTTAAGGTGACTGGAACGCGTTTCACACTGGTGCGTCAACCACGTGAAAAAAGGTGGTCCCTCGATTTCAGCCGGGTGACATCGTACAAGTGTCGCGTTGTTGGCGTCCGTGATAGGAGTTGGGACACCACCACAACGGCGACACTCGCATTCCCTCGTGCTTTTTTCAAACACCCACTACGCCCAGCTGCCCGGATAGCAACCCCCTTTGCTGCACGAGCAGAACAGGACGCTGAACGTACTGGTCAGAGGTGCACTGTAATACAATTCTGGGCATCGTAATATAATGAAGTGCCATGTGTGCTCTGCTGCACCTGCCTTCGCAAGCAAAGGGGGTCGGCGGTGGAGTGCGCTAATACTCTGCAGCTCCAAGCACGTAGAGCGAAAGCTGGTGCTCCAGAATCCAGGGACCCTGGTCTCAATTCCCAACCCCTGCCCGTCTCGATCTAGATCGGCAGCGTACTGGCCGTGTATCCCTGCTGCTGGGTCTGACTAACTTCCTTTCTGTTTAAACGTACACGCAACGCAATTATTTCACGGGCAAGCGGTGTTGAACACCAGAAACTTTATAAGGTTCTTGAACATATTGAGTTTACCCGTATTCAGTTTTATTTTTTTGGCTTCCTTCATCCTGAAGGGGCTCTTATGTTCGCTGTTCAGATCTCGGAATGTTATCCCACTGGCATTTTTGGAACAGAGCCAGCGATGGTTTCTTTTTCGTTAGGCTCTGAGTTATGGCAGTGTCGAGTGGAGCTGCCTAAAAGCGCGTGTAGCGTGCACGTACGGGAAGCGGAAACTGTTTGGCACTTACAAACGTGCCGTCTAGCAAAAGGCAAAGACCTGTCAAGCAGCGGACTTGCCTCGAGAGAAGTTCCCACCAGGCGCTGTGCCTCCAATCCCTGCAGACAAATGATGTGACAGCAAAGGCTAGAATTAAGGTTTCACAAAAAAAAAAAAAACGGAAAGCTTATGCTGCTGCTGATTTTCTGGCCCATTTTGGCACACCTTTCCGACCAATTATTACAATCGAATCTGAGTCTGACCAACGTGTGGAACATACAAGTTGTGTGTTAAACAAGTTGCATCACATACCCCAGAGCCCTTGGAAGTAAGAGACAGGTGCCCTTGAAGAAGGCCTTTAGAACGGATCCAGCCATCCAGAGTGCATAGTTCTGCCTTGTTGGTCTGCAGCAAACCAGGAAGCGCCACAGTTTGTGAGAAACGACAACTCTAGTAGCCAATTTCTATCTTTCTGAGGTCACCTGCTCGAATATTAGATCGAAGGATTTTTTGTTTCTGGCCTGTACACATAGAGGCCGGTCCAACCTTGGTGTCTACAAAATTGAATTTCGGAAATTATTGCACTTCCCTGATTTTTTTCTAGTTACAGTAAGTAAGAAAGCATGGCAACTCTACTAGTTTGACAGTGTGAACAAGTGTAAAATCTTTTAAGAACAACAGCTACTACTGGTGACTATTGCGATGCTATGCGACCATTTGCACACCAAAAGAAGTCCAATTCGAAATTTGGAGCACATGCAGACTCCTTGATTAAAGGCGCCCTGCAATCATATTTAAGGGTCTACATTTTTTGCTATTTCCACGTCTCCTGGGGTTCGGGCAAGCCAGCGGGCACGGAAAGAGTAGCTAAATATCACTGGGTCATATTTTAAAGGGAAGCTACGGAGCTTCTTGGAAAAAATGAGTTAGAAGTGAATTCTAGTGTATTTTTACCCCGTGAACCCGAATACCCAAACCATTTGCTGCGCAAGTATTGTTAAACGCGAGAAAAACGCGAAAGACAGTCGCTGTCCGTGACGTCATCGACGGCTCTTTTGGCTGCCCAAGGCTAGGGAGGCGGGGCTTCAGCCCTATATTGAAACTGCTCCGATTGCTCTCCGGCGCGTCGCATTGAAATGCAATTTTGATATCTGTTAATCTAAAGGCTAAATGAACGCAGTTCAAGCGTTTTTTCTCAAATGTAGAAGTGCCCCATCTTCCCTTTAACCGGACGACGCGGAAACCTCCTCCACCTACGGGGGCGACCCGCGGTGCTGAAAGCGCGCGATATGTGATGTCTTTGGTCCTGGGCTTACTACTGGTCAGAGCCCCTAAAAGCTTCTTTTTAGTCGAAATACAAAATATAAGTGGTGCGAGCCGTTTCAATTATTTAATAAAGCAGTTTTTGTTCAATATTTTAGATGAAGAAAGAAACAAATGCAGTTTAAAGTACGGAAACAAGAAATGACCCGTCGACATACCCGCCACGAAGCGGTAGAAAAGGCGGCGCATACTGGAACGGTGTAGTGGGATCAGGCACCAACGAGCGGCGAGCGTAGAAAGGTCCCGGATGTATGCGGTGGCACTGCGGTCGTATAAACTGGAGGATCCGACCGGTTCCGAGCGTTCCGAAGGCCTTAGGCGAGCAGCTTTGGCTTGCGGTTTGGCCTTTTGGCGGTATGACAGCGCGAAATGTCTCCCGCTCTGAACTGACCTTTACCCCGTGTCTGCTGTCATTTGTGGCCAATGAAGTGTCATGCCGAATTAGTGTTTAATCGCGCAGCAAATGCAATGCGAGCCACCCTGGCTGCCTGCTTCATACAGCCTATCCACAACATGCTTCAGTGGCGCCCTCTCGAGCCGTCGACACGCAGTGCGGCAGCCGTGAGCGCTCGCTGAGCTCACTACCCCTCCTCTAGTTCACGGTCACTCAAGCAACCAAGAACGTCATAAAGGAGGTTATTTTTTGCTTGTTTTTGTAATCTTAATTTGCCTGTAACTTTTAAACTAAAGCAAAATTCGAGGAGAGAAAAGTTTCATTAAGTTACTACGTTCAGTGCACTCAGGTTCGCTACAAATTAAAAACCAGTAAAAAACTCCTTGCAGGGCCTCTTTAAGTAACTAATATCCTCTGTGGCTGCATGCCGGAAAAACTGTGCCTAAGCGACTAATATTTTATAAATTCCTCCAATCCACTCGGACTATTTTCTGACTTGGTAAGTACTCAGCTTGACACTGTTAGCATGAACAGGTAATCACTGGGTTCTTGGTTTCCTTTCGCTTAGACTCAAAGGGCTGCCATCAAAGCTACTAATGTTGTGTGAAGCACTACACTAGTAGTGTGAGCACCAACCTAACTGGTAAAATCTGATGCATGCCAATTTCATTTCAAAGTGAGATGAAAAAGAAGTGGATATGACATGTTTGCACCAACAGTGTCACGCAGTGTACAGGGTGTCCCCGAAAAAAATGTATAGCTTTTTTCGCTGCGAAAATAAGCTATGCCTTGCCAAACGCTGTCTCTGCCCTAACGTAGCGCTAGCTAGGACGAGATGCCAAAGTGTTGGAGCTTGCTGTTATCTGGTTAAAAGGTTTTGTTGAGAGAAAGTCATCTGCTTCTAGTACAGGAGTTGCAGTGAGGTTAAAACGATGCCGAGCTCTGATTGGCTTTGATTGAAAGGATGGTGGGTAGACCTCAATACTAGACACCTTGAGGTCTACCCACTATTTTTAGAGCGCAGCTTTTAGGCGCCCATTTCCGGCTTGAGCGGTGTCGCTGTTGCCGTCGGCGTAACCGTGAGGTCACGTGACCCTCGTGAGATCATGTGACCCCCGTGAGGTCATGTGACCCCCATAAGGTCATGTGACCCCCGTGACGTTACGATGGTCACGTGACCTCACGGTTACGCCGACAGCGATGGCGACGCCGCTCGGAGGGAGGAGTAACAGGCAGGATGAGGAGGTGAGGAGGAGGAGGGAGGAGGGGTACACCCTCCCCTCAGTACCCATCCCTCCTCCTCCTCAAGAGCTGCGCTCTAATTCGGCGTTACAGGGAGTTGTAAACGGCTTTTATTTTTTAGAGCGCAGCTCTTAGGGGCCCGTTTCCGGCTTGAGCGGCGTCGCCGTCGCCGTCGGTGTAACCGCGCGGTGCATTATGGGTAAATTTCCCCGCTAAATCTAGCGGAAAAATTTCCCCGCTAGATTTAGCGGAAAAATTTCTCCGCTAAATCCAGAGTAAAAATTTTCCCCGCTATATTTAGCGGAAAAAATTCCCCGCTAAATCTAGCGAAAAAAATTTCCCCGCTAAATCTAGCGGAAAAGTTTCTCCGCTAAATCTAGCGGAAAAATCTAGCGGGAAAAATTCCCCGCTAAATCTAGCGGAAAAATTTCCCCGCTAAATCTAGCGGAAAAATTTTCCCCGCTAGATTTAGCGGAAAAAAGTCCCGCTAAATCTAGCGGAAAAATTTCTCCGCTGAATCTAGCGGAAAAATTTCTCTGCTAAATTTAGCGGAAAAATTTCTCCACTAAATTTAGCGGGAAAAATGCCCCGCTAAATCTAGCGGAAAAATTAACCCGCTAAATCTAGCGGGAAAATTTCCCCGCTAAATTTAGCGGAAAAAATTCCGCGCTAAATCTAGCGGAAAAATTTCCCCGCTAGATTTAGCGGAAAAAATTCCCCGCTGTCTAGCGGAAAAGTTTTCCCGTTAAAGGGGCGATGCAACAATATTTGTATTTTGCGCAAATACCGCTCAGAACTGATCCCTGACATTAATGACCTGTTAAATACCCGTTCGTTTTTCACCACACGCCCCCCCCCCAAATCGAAGTCGCAGAAACAAATTAAAGAAAAACGAGCAGAGTTCACCTCCTCAACTAGAGTTCACCTCCTCAACTCGCAGCCAGAACAAGCGGCCACGTGATCTTGAGCCGATTATATGCCGCCAATGTTGATGATAGCCACGCGCTGGGGTTGGCAAAGCACAGGACACGCGCTGAGTTCCAGACATTGTTATGGCTCGGCTATTGTCGTCGTTGCAGCGATTGGACACGGGCCACTACCCGAATGGCTGTCGAGCTATCGATTATCACGAGCCCAAATCGAGTGTCCACGCCATGCTCGGGTCCAATCTATGAGCCGCATTCAAATATCGTCACTGGGCGGTACTGCTGCCGCCCAGCTATGTCATCAGGTTTTGCGAAGGAGAGATTGAATGAAAACACTCGGTTTTGTCGTCGAAATTACAGCGCAAAAAAGGAGTTTCTTGGCCAGTGGCGTTGCGTGCGACTATCCTTGAGTCCCACTAGTGCCAGTAAGCTCGTGTAAAGTGAAAAACATTCATATTGAATATCGTTGCACCGTCCCTTTAAACCTAGCGGAAAAATTTCCCCGCTAAATCTAGCGGAAAAAATTCCCCGCTAAATCTAGCGGAAAAATTTTTCTGGGGGGTCATGTGACCCCCCCCCCGCCCCGAGAACAGGTGACCCTCAGTACCCTTCCCTCCTCCTCCTCAAGAGCTGCGCTCCAATTCGGTGTTACAGGGAGTTGTAAACGGCCTTTTTTAATCAGCCAATAAGAGCTTGGCGTTCCGACATCATCGCAACCCCTGCAAAGAAGCAGACAAATTTGTGCTCCGCATAAGCAATTTTCGAAAATTTTCAACGGGAAAATGGCAGCTGACGAAGCCCACGAATACACAGAGGTTGGCATTTTAGGTCGTCCTCACTCACCCTAACAGCCACACTCACCTAAGCCCCTCACTCACCCTCATCCTCACAGTCGCACTCACCTTCAGCCCTTTACTCACCCTCACTGAACCTCACAGCCCTCCCGCGCTCAATGCCCTCATGCACTCATGGCCCTCATGCACTCATGGCCCTCATGCACTCATGGCCCTCATGCACTCATGGCCCTCATCACCCTCACGGTCCTCGCAGCCCTCACTCATGAATTTTCGGGGTTCAGAAACTCACTCTCCCTCACCTCACCTCTGAAGGTGAGGGTGAGTGAGGGTGAGTGAGGGTGAGTGAGGGACTTCATGAGTGAGGTTTGCTGAGGTATGGGAATACATGGAGTTGAGCGGTGTGAGCTACTGGGGACGAGCCCAATTATCCCATTGGAAGGTTCAGAGAATAAGATGACGGGTAATTATGAAACCTTGGCGTCTGGTACGGACTGCTTGCGCTATATTTGGTAAAGACCGAAAGCTTCGCAACACTCTGTACAATGCACCAGGATCCTTCAAATCTTCTCGGTCCATAAAACTTGATCCTGGTTTTCCCCGCTCATGAGCACACAGTCAACGCAATCGGACATTAAGCGCCGACGTTACCTTGATGGAACTCAAAGCAATGTCTCCATCCTCGGTGGTCACCGTGCACTGATCCAGAACGAGATTTTCCAGAGCCGCTTGTGCCTTTCCAGAAAGGTGCACCTCCACACCTGTCGGGAAAATGTTTCATGTTCAGACACGTGCGTTTGGAAGATACAAACCTAAAGCTTTCTACAATCAACACACGAGCGACTACGCCATGATGGGCACGTGTACAGGGTTCGGACAGCCCAAATGTGGCTGTCCTAACCAGATGCCAAAGTTTCAAAACTAACCGTTATCTTACTGGATGGATTTGGGTTTTAATGCGTGCAGCAGCATCAAAGGCGACAGTGCGCCAGCGTTACGTTATCAAAATTGATAAGACGGAGCTCTCGCATACATGGAGCTGAAGAGTGCCAGTTAGCAAGAACGGGGCCCCATTTCCCCATTCAAATTTTCAAGAAATTATTAACTTTTTTATTAAAAGGATGCTGAACCAAAATCTGGATTCCACAAAACACAGCGGCAAAAGCGTGTAACGGGATGCTACAAACACCAAAACATCACTCATACAGCGATATCTCGAACGGATGACCGTATTTTTAAAAAAAGGAGGTGCATTTAACTGATTTGTTTACGTCTTGTTTTTTCGAGAAGGAGAGGGAACGGCCTCGCGTCTTCTCCGCCTCGCCACCTTGAGGGAGCAAAGCAAGGAGAGGAGGGAACGAGATATGTTGACGCCACGCGCCTCATTCAATCTCAACCTCTTTTTCCAAAAACATGGCCGCCCATTCGAGATATCGCCTTACGAGTATGGTGTTGTAGGGGTTGTAGTGTCTCGCCTACAGCTTCTGCATTGTTTTTTTTAAATCCAAATTTCGGTTCAAAGTTCTGAAACTTTTGCATTTGGTTTGGCACTGCATTTTGGTGGAGAACAAGCATTCGGCGATGCGTCATCTATTTTTGCAGTGCAAAAAATCCCCGTAAATATTTTTCTTTGAACGCACTATACATCTACCAGTTTACTCTTCTTGTTTGTAAGTAGTCGTTCAATAGCTTGACGTTATAGAAAGGAAGTCCAATTCCACAAGCATTCGTGCAGCACCCTTTGCAGAACTCTGCACCAGCTTATGCATTTGCACCTATACGTTACAGTGTAGGGCCAACACCAGCTAGAATATTCGAGACCTGCAAATAGCCTCCTCTTACTCCATTGTATGTCATCATGGAGTAAGAGGCGGCCAGAAGCCCTAACTAAGTTGATCAGATGCGAGGACTAGCCGAATGCTGACCCCGCACTAGAGTGCAATTTGCTGCTGCGCTCGATATTACTGCAATGACGTCGAAATGCCAGTGCCAAGGCTTTAATTATTCTGCAAGGTGTTTCCCAATAGCGTTCGGGAACACCAAGTAGGTGGTGTTAGTATGACTCCACCTGGGGAAGGTGTTTGATATCGTGTGTATAAATTACTGTGTGTAAGGACAGTACTCAGCATCGCTGGCAGGCGAACGCAGCACAAGAGCCCACCGAGATCCTTGCTTTCGGCTCCAGACATGCTAAGCGTCAGCGAGTCGTCTTCACGGCCGAGCTTGAGCGTGGGCCTGAGCGGCGACTCCGGCGAACCGACGAGCGACACGCTGACGGCGTCGGCGTCCATCGCGTCGACGGGACCGATCCGGAGCGAGCACGGCAAGCGCACGGAGAGCACTCGGGGCCACTGTCCCTGCGTCGGAGTCCGGTGCTTGTCGAGTACGGCGCGCGTTGGTTCGGCACTGCAGAGCTTTCGGGACGCTGTGAAGACGCCAACGAAGCGAGACAAAGAGCACGGTCGGAGAAGTAACAGCATCGTGATCCCTGCCCTCGTCAGAACCGATGCAGCGAGGATCTAAAGTTCTAAACCGAGGTACGATCGTCCCTGTGATCGTGCGCACAAGAATCCTTCCGCACCAGCGTGCAAGGGAGAATGCTCAAATCCCGGCCGAGCAGCCTTGCTCGAAATTGCTCGCATACACCTCGCCCAGAACGTTACTGGAGAGTTCAAACGCGCTGACTTTACTACCGCGCCGGCAAACACGCCAAGTCGTGAACTATGCGCTATGCACGCGAAAATAAAATAAGATCACGATGAAATTTAAATGTATGAAAGAGAAAACCGCTAGATGTATATTAGTGTTTATTATACACTGAATCAGGCGGTTACGTGCGACATCTGGCTAAAGTGGACTAGAGTATGGGGAACCTCCGGACCACGAACAAAAAACGAGTTGCGCGGCGAAAACACAGATGGCGCCACCATCAAAGCCACCGGCCCTTGTGTGGTGGGAGGCGTTCATTACTAAAAACTAAAGAAAACAAATTTGAACCAAACTTCATTTAGCTCTAGCTATAACTGCATATTATTTCACTAAATACAAATTACGTATTCGTAAAAAGTGTCAAAGTCACAGTTAAAGAAGTCATGCCTTTTTTTTTTTTTTTCATCATCATGTTTTTAGTCTGTTTTCCAAGTTGTCTTCAGCAGTGGAAAAGACGGAGCTGCGATACGCCGTTCAACCTTAAAGGTACAATGAAGGCAATTTCGGAGATCTTTTTGGCGATTGAACTGGGTTCCAGGCACGTCTCAGGCCACGTTGCCCAAATTTCAGCCGAAACCGGCGCTTGTGTGCCGCGCAAATCAATTAAACAGTCGCGGTAATAATCGTACCGGGATCGACTGGGGCGACGCCCCAAGAGTTGCGGGAGAAGCCAGGAATAAAATGCTTAGATGGGCCAGTTGGTACATCGTGGGAAAATAAGCGCCAAAAAAACACGGACAAAGAGTAGATTGACAACGACACAGGGCGCGTGTAGAAGCCAGGAGAAGCGGAGCTCACGTGACCGATGCGGGGCCAAGGAGTGCGACGTCACAAGAGACGCGTCAGCGATTGGTCGAAACGAGAAACGCGCCCTCGGTCACGTTTTGGTTCGCGATTTTTAGAAATACTGTTCCAATTTCCGCTTGAATAACCATAAAAAGTATAAATCGGATAGGAAATGATTACTAAACCGTAAATAAAGCAGCATCATTGTTTTTTTCTTTGCTACGCTGGACGCGAAACCGGCAACGAGCAACTATGGGCCAACAAAATAAAATTAAAAACGAACACGGTACTCGAAAGATTTTGCAAAATCGTAGCTGTAGATGGCAGTTCTAACGGTCGACTGAAGACCAGTATTCGTTCGGGCGACGCTAGTTTTCACGTGTGGGTTGCTGTTCGTGTTCTTTGACGATGAAAAGAGTAAAGGCCCGTTCACACCCTTGCGACCGACTTCGACCGAGAGAGTCCAGACTGGTTTTTAAGCCTTTTGTGACTTCTTAAAGGGGCGGTGCAACAATTTTATGATTAAAAAAATTTGCATCTCGTCATTTTTACGTTATTTATCGTGTCCCAGAGGATAGAGAAAACACTTCTTTCACTAAAAATGTCGCGATTCCGCTGCATAATCGCAAAGCAAAAGTCGAGCTTTTTCCCCCACCTGTAGCCCCAAGTGGCAGCCGAAGGAACTACGGCGGAAAGATTACGTGACCTCGCTCGGCTCTAAGCTGCAGCATAGCGCCCGCTAATGTACGCAGAGAGAGGGAGGGGAAGCGTCCTCCGGGATAGCACACGGGAAGCGACACGGCACTCCGAATGACGTCACTGGGAGTGCGATCAAGTGTGACCCTGAAGACTGGGAGTGAGTTGAGGGGTGCCCGAAATGCCAATCTCTATCTTTTTTTTACGCAACAACTAGGACACGCAGGCGAAATCGGTTTTCTGCCCTTTACTTCACAAGTGTCAGGGGGCAACTTCCAGAAATCTATGACCGAAGTCCGAAAATCGTTGCACCGCCCCTTTAAAGGGAAGATGGGGCACTTCTACATTTGAGAAAAAACGCTTGAATTGCGTTCATTTGGCCTTTAGAATAACAGATATCAAAATTATATTTCAATGCGACGCGCCGGAGAGCCACAAGAGCAATTTCAAAATAGGGCTGAAGCCCCGCCCCCCTAGCCTTGGGCAGCCAAAAGAGCCGTCGATGACGTCATGGACAGCGACTGTCTTTCGCGTTTTTCTCGCATTTAACAATACTTACGCAGCAAATGGTTTGGGTATTCGGGTTCACGGGGTAAAAATACACTAGAATTCACTTCTAACTCATTTTTTCCAAGAAGCTGCAGCGGAGCTGATCCTAAGAAGTCGCAAGAGGCTTAAAAACCGGTATGGTCTCTCTCGGTCTACCCTCTTTCTATTGGCCAACTAAACGATAGGCGATTAGTAAAGTCCCAATTTAAAATAATTTATCCCAGCCCAAAATTAGTTTCAGCTGCCTCTCGAAGTTTTTATCTGTTTTGTTTTCCCGCTTCATTGAGGATACATCTCCAGTGACTCTGAAGAGTCGTTCTACCCATCGCGCTCGAAGGAACGGCAGTGTTGTGCGGTAACCGGACAAAAGCTCACCCGTTTTTTCACTGACCCGGACAAAAGCTCACCTCTTTTTTTTTTTTTTTTTTTTTTGCTACCCCGAGTGAAACACGGCCTGGATGAAGTACGGACGCGATGGATATTCCACCATTTTTATGAAAACTGGCATCCCATCCCATGCAAAGGTGTCGACAGATAAGCCAATACAGGCAGAAAAGCAAGGATTTGGGACCAACATTTAGGTCACTGAAACTTAATGGAGCTGATAAGATCAAGCTTGCTTGACTCAAGGTATGTCGGAGCACCCGTGTGCCACGCCCAAGAAACTTCGTGAACCGAAGTTTTTGAACCCGAAGAGTGACGGGAGAAACGAAGTCACCCTTTCTTGACCTCGCTTTTTCATTACGCTTATGTCACGCTAAACGCGCACATAAAGATTAGGCACACTGTCTCTTCATTACGAATGCATGGGTTTAATTTAAGTTATCGTTGTATTTTAGTGTCGTACGCATGCACCTAAGTTGTCTGCATACGTGTTAAGACCAACATGAAATTTTCTCCTAGTGAGCTTTTGTCCAGGTCTGTGAAAAAATGGGAGAGCTTTTGTCCGGTGAGCTTTTGTCCGGTGAGCCTCTGCCCGGTGAGCTTTTGTCCGGGATTCGAGTTGTGCTGCAGGAAGGGCTGGTGAATCTTCGGAAACTGCGCCTTTACTGAGGACAGTGGGTAATGGGTTATGTGCCTTCCAGCATTGGCAACCTCCGGGTTTACATCCGGTCCGTACCCTGTCCTAGAAGGTTCAACCAACGAATCCTATTTCGTTCGCTGGGTGAAGGACATTCTCAGCTGTAGAATTCAGTACGGCAGCGTTTATCGCTGGACACGTCAGTCGTACTGCTGACGTGTTCAGCGATAAACGTTGCTGTACTGTCACACTGTTTAGTTGTTTTTTGGGTTGCCCACCTACCGTTCTCGCAATAGAAGCATACTAAGGTATGCTTCTATTGTAACGCCGAATTAGAGCGCAGTTCTTGAGGAGGAGGGAACGGTACTGGGGGGGGGGGGGGTCAACTGACCGGAGGCGGGGGGTCACGTGACCTTGGGGTGTCACGTGACGATGACAATGAAGATGATGTCATCAGTGACGTCACTGATGACGTCATCGATGGCGATGCGGATACCGATGACGTCATCAGTGACGTCACCAGTGATGATGACGATGCAGATGCCGGTGACGACATCAGTGACGTCACTGATGACGTCATCAGTGATGATGACGATGCGGATGTCGGTGACGTCATCAGTGATGATGACGATGACAATGCGGATGCCGGTGACGTCAACAGTGACGATGACGTCATCAGTGATGATGGCGATACGGATGCCGGTAACGTCATCAGTGACGATGACGTCAATGAGGGGGAGTCACGTGACCTCGGGGGGGGGGGGGGGGTCACGTGACCTCAGGGGAGTCACGTGACTTCGGGGGGTCACGTGACCTCTGGGGGGAGTCACGTGACCTTGGGAGGGGTAACATGACCTTGGGGGTCACATGACCTGGGAGCCACGTGACCTTGGGGTGACCTTAGGGGCCGCGTGACCTTGGGGTGACCTTGGTTACGCCGACGGCAACGGCGACACCGCTCAAGCCTGAAACGGGCGCCTAAGAGCTGCGCTCTAAAACAAGGCCGTTTAAGCGGTGTTCCAGAAGTTACTCCTCAAAGTAACGAGATACCGTTACTCATTACTTGGCCTTAAAAGTAACTAAATATGTTACTCGTTCCTTTTCGAAAAAAGTAACTAAATGCATTACTCGTTACAGAAAATATTAACTAGGTACAAGTAACTCGTAACGCGTTACGTTGGCGCCTGCACTCTGCGCGCTCCGAAACCGGTGGACCGTTGCGGTGGCAACGGTTCGTTCGGATCCCAACTGACGACGGTGAGTTTGGAAGCTACCCTTTGCAAAAATCCCAAAAGCCCGCGCGCGCCCCGCGTCAAATAATGGGAGTATACTCGGTACGCCCCTCCCATTCTCTTTCCTCCCGCTACCACGTGGCATACGGGAGCAGGCACAAGTTACCATAGCAACAACGTTCGAGCACCCCAGAGCCGAGTAGCCGAGTCGGATCGCCGGACGAGCGACGACGAGCGTACGGGGGAGAACGTCTGCCCCTTTTTCCATCCCTCTTCTTTGTGCCGCACCGCCTCTGTCGTCTGCTGCGCCAACGCCTTGTCGAATTTAGTCGTACCCTGCCACGGTCGCGGTGCAAATTAAGTCGATTTTGTGACACTGCAAGACGTGAAGGTAAGTTGCGACCAATAACGTATTCAAATCACCTTTCGCGATGCGTTTACGCTAGCACAGATACGGTACGCCGCCAACGACGTACGACGTTCCGGCGACGGCGGATGGGTGGTTTGGCGGATTGCTGCGACGGCTGCTGGCGGTCCTGGCGGTAGCTGCCGCGACGCGCGCGCAGTCGCGGAGGCGCAATGAAAAAGTTCTGCAAGTGCGCCGCCATCTTTAATTGACGTCGCTTCCAGTATGGGCGAAAACATTGTTTTGCCTTTGCCACGCCAATAGAAGGCATTTAGGATATAAGCGTAACCGTCATACTTTTTCGTTTTGCCTCCCCTTTATTTTTTTACTATTTGCAGGTTGAAACGTTGGATTATGTTTTGGGAGTGTCTACATCCACGC